AGGCGACCTCTACCAGCTGCAGCGCCACCTGAGGAGGAGGAGGCGTAAAGGACAGCATGCAGAGGCAGCCATGCTGGAGACCATAGCGGTGGCGGGCATCTGGACCAGGGAGCGTCGCAGGGCGGCCAACCTCAACCAAGAAGGCGATGACACCTGCGCGAGATGCGGCGAGGCGATAGAGACAGAGGAACACCGCTACTACGCATGCCCTGCCAACGCAGAGATAGGGCACAGCAATGACACCGACCTGGCGAAGAAGGCGAAGGACGCGTTGGACCAGCGGCAGGACCTGCATTTCTGGCTCCGAGGCATCCCGCCAGCGGCCTGGGCAGCCAAGGTCGACCCAGACGAGGACGCGGCGAAGGCGGCGCAGATCTTCTGCACCAGCGAAGAGGCTCAGGCGGCAGCCCAGTCAGGGCACAAGGTTCGAGCAGACTATGTTTTTACGGACGGCTCAGGTGGCGCAGGGGAAACGGCCAGGGACCCCCGCCTCAGACGCTTCGGCTGGGCAGTGGTGGCTTTCAGGTTCGACGAACAAGGACGTCCGCAGGAAGTGGCTGCCTGGTACGGCACAATCAGAGCACCGCACACGGTGCCACGGGCAGAGCTCACCGCCATGAGCAAAGCCATCGGGTACACCACGGCGGCGACAGCCAGGGGGCTCAACATAGTCAGCGATTGCAACTACGCCCTGGACGCACTCAAGCAGATCCAGGACCCTGAGGATCTGGACTACAGGAGCACGAACTACGACCTCTGGCTCCAGACGAAGCAGCAGCTGCAGAACAGCACGGACACCATCATGGGCCACCACATCCCGAGCCACCTGATTGAGCACCCAGCCGAGCTGGAGAGGTGGAGTGGTCCCACCTGGTGGGTCATAGGAAACGAGATGGCAGACAAGTGCGCAGGCTGGGGGGCGGAGCACGGAGCACTGGACCCAGCCATCATCGCGCAGCAGCAGATCAGAGACCAGATCACCATGGCGGTGCAGAACCGGTTGCTGGCCATCAACATGGCGGTGATGGTGGAGGACCCCAACAAGGCCCCTCAGCGTCCCAAGGCCAAGCGGCGAAAGCCGCAGACGGCGAGGGACAGGGCAGCCCAGCAGGGACACGACCTGCGAAAGCTACATCCGCGATGGTGGTGTGCAACGTGTCGCAGTGGCCCAGCCAAAGGACAAAGCATCAGAGACTGGTTGGCAGAGACGGGAAAATGCCTCGGGAAGTACGGCGGCCACCAGGACCAGCACGGCAACGTCAGGCTCGACTTCAAGGCGGTGCAGATCGGCACGCAGGTGGTGCACGTCTCCCACAAGACGCAGTTCACCCATGGCTGGCTCTGGTGCGAGAAATGTGGCGGCACCAGCTACCTTGGGGACCACAAGAGCAGGATCGTGGCAGGAGTGGCAAGGAAGCTGGCAAGGCAATGTCAGCCCCCAACAGCAGCAGGGCGGCGAGTTTTGGAGGACATGCAGAGGGGCAAGCTGCCAAGAGGAGCTAAGCCAGCAGCAGACCCAGCTGATGAGGGTCTCGAAGAGATCACCATGCCAGGAGTCTTCAAGCTCGGCCTGAGTAACCACGAGGCGATCGATCTGGACGGGGGCAGCTCAGAGGCAGGGGACCTGCAGCCAGCTCCACAGCAGCCACCCAGCCATCCGCACTCTGTCGTCCACGCCAGCTGGAGGCTCGTCGACCACATGGAGGGCTACGCGGAGCAGTGGATGAACATGGTCGACCAAGAGGTCTGGGACGATATGGACGACTGGATGGAGCACTGCGTACCGTACCTCCTGGCCATCACCAATGTGGGTGGCAGAACGGACACGCAAGAGCAGACCAGGGCCGTCACCGTGCAGGAGCTCCAGCAGATCAAGGACTTCTGCGAAGAAGTCTGGCGGAACACGCACCGCACGCGACGGAGGCTCATGACCAGGATGCTCACCCTCCCGTATGGTACAAGGCAGCAGGCAGCTAGAGTGCACATGGACGCCTTCCAGAATAGAAGGAACAACATCCTAGCGCACAGCATCCCCAGCAGCGAGCGCAGGCCGCTGCCGAGAACAGCGGAGGCCAGCCGAGAGTGGTCACCAGAGAACCTGGACGATGACGACTCGACCCCAGACAGTGAAGCCCCAGAGCTGGAGGGTGAGCCGAGCAGCAAGGAGATTGAGACCATGGCGGGACCTGATCAGAGGCACGACGCCAACAGCCTGATGCAGACGGCAGTGCAGGTGGCAGTAACGCTGACCAAGCCAGTGGGGCCCGACCTGATGAAGTTCGTGAGCGAAGCCGACGAGGTCGGCCTGCTCCGCCCAAGGCTTCGACACAACAAAGGAGAAGCTGACCAGGACCCCGAGCAGGAGGTGGCGTGGCTCGAGAGGAACAGGCTCGAGCAGCTCATGCAGTCGCTGGCAGGCTGTTGGGGCAAGAAAGAGGGCGAGCAGGGCTGGCCATCGTGGCAGGCCGCGTGCGTGCCCCATGTGCTGAGGGCGCTGCAGACTGGCGTCGATCGGAGGCTTTTCAGCAACGGGTCAGGGACGAGCCGCCAGCGCAGCCAGCGCCGAGCGGCGGAGGAGATCTGCCGCCTGGCATGGCTCAACAGCGGAGAGGCGCGCAGGCAGATCCAGCAGCAGGACCCGAAGGAGGCAGAGCGGCGCAGAGCAACGGCTGAGCAGATCCTGGGCGTGACTGAGCCAGAGGTGAGGAGCCGCAGCCCGCGACCGCAAGCAGCAGGGCGAGTGCCAAGCAGGGCTCCAGCCAGTCAGCCGAGGAGGCCCCAGCGCGGAGAGGGGACAGGCCACCATGGACCCCTGCGCGGCGAGGGGTTAGGCCGAGGAGGACCCCAGCGCGGCGAGGGGCTAGACAGCCCAGCGCCAGACGGGATGCAGAGGGGTGCCCGTCCCCCACCAGCAGGACGCAGCACCAAGGACATGGCAGACCTCGACCGCGTCCCTGAAGAGGAGAACAGCCAGGAGTGCCCCCAGCAGGCCGTAGACAAGCAAAACAGCGATGACAACCACCAGCAGTTCCCAGATGCACAGCACAGCATAGGGTACCACCTGGCAGACCGCAGAGGACCCCAGCGTGGCGAGGGGTTAGGCCACGGAGGACCCCAGCGCGGTGAGGGGTTAGACCGCAGAACCAAAGACAAGCAGAGGATCGAGGCGGAGGTCCCTGACGAGCCCAGTGAGCATGACGCGGACGTCTTGACCAACAGTGTGGTAGACAGGACCTCGCAACTAACAGAGCGGACCCATACCCTGGGAAACCGACAGACTGAACGCGAGGGGGAGGGCTTGGCCCGCGGATACCACGTGAACCGCGAACACAGCGAGTGGCATAGTCGGGGGACCTCGCCTGAGCCAGTGTGCAGCAGCACCGAGGATGGGGACAGTGCGAGACTCGGCGCTCCCCCGCGTGGCGAGGGGTTAGGCCACAAAACAGCGCAGCCTGAGAAGGCGGCAGACTACGACGACACAGACCTGCAGCGGGACTTGGATAAGATCTACGGCGACCCTCCCCAGCGCGGTGAGGGGTTAGACCGCAAGGCACCCCTGCGTGGCGAGGGGTTAGGCCACGGCAATCCCCTGCGCGGTGAGGGGGTAGACCGCAGGACCAAAGGCAAGCAGAGGCTTGAGGCGGAAGCCTATGACGTGCCCAGTGAGCACAACGCGGACCTTTTGACCAACAGTGTGGCAGACAGGACCTCGCAACTAGCAGAGCGGACCCATACCCTGGGAAACCGACAGACTGAACGCGAGGGGGAGGGCACGGCCCGCGGATACCACGTGAACCGCGAACACAGAGAGTGGCAAAGTCGGGGGACCTCGCCGGAGCCAGAGGGCAGCAGCACCGAGGACGGGCACAGTGCGAGACGCGGCGTACCCCCGCGCGGTGAGGGGTTAGACCGCAGCAGGCCCCAGCGTGGCGAGGGGTTAGGCCACGGAGTACCCCGGCGCGGTGAGGGGGTAGACCGCAACGATCCCCAGCGTGGCGAGGGGTTAGGCCACGGAGTACCCCATAGTGGTGATGGGTCAGACCGCAGCAGGCCCCTGCGTGGCGAGGGGTTAGGCCACATGGGGCCCCAGCGCGGTGAGGGGTTAGACCGCAAAAGGCCCCTGCGTGGCGAGGGGTTAGGCCACGGAGCACCCCAGCGCGGTGAGGGGTTAGACCGCAGCAGCCCCCAGCGTGGCGAGGGGTTAGGCCGCGAGTTTCCCCAGCGCGGTGAGGGGTTAGACCGCACCGACCCCCAGTGTGGCGAGGGATCAGGCCACGGCGGACCCCAGCGCGGTGAGGGGTTAGACCGCAACAGACCCCTGCGCGGCGAGGGGTTAGGCCACCACGGAGCACCCCAGCGCGGCGAGGGGCCAGACGCCAGCAGACCCCAGCGCGGCGAGGGGTTAGGCCACGGAGGACCCTTGCGCGGCGAGGGGTTAGGCCGCAACGCGCCCCAGCGTGGCGAGGGGTTAGGCCACAGCTCTGCGCCAGGCAAGGCTGTCGTGAAGGCCCATGAGTCCAGGGACCAGCAGCCAGGGCGGTCCCTGGAAGAGCGCAGAGCTGAGGAGCGGCTGCGGCCGTCCATCAGGCTGCTCCTCAAGCTCTGAGTGGGCGGCGGCAGCATTTCTTCAGACTGCCGCTGCTCACGGGGCGACTCCATGAGTCACAGAGTGGCGGCAGTACGACGCCGTGAGATGAGGCCGCTGGCCCACCCCGCCTCGGGCCGTTCTGCCTGCGCGGAGTGCCGAGACCAGGGGCACCCACTCACGGGCGGGAGCACGCGGGTTTAAAAACTCCTCCTCCTCCTCCACCTCCTCCTCCTCCTCCTCCTCCTCCTCCTTCCTCCTCCTCCTCCTCCTCCTCCTCCTCCTCCTCTCCTCCTCCTCCTCCTCCTCCTCCTCCTCCTCCTCCTCCCCTCCTCCTCCTCCTCCCTCCTCCTCCTCCTCCTCCTCCTCCTCCTCCTCCCCCCCCCGCCTCCTCCTCCTCGCCCACCCTCGAGAGGGCCTGTCCACCCCGGCCCCGACGATGGGCCCGGGGCAGCCGTGCCAGTGCGAGGGTTGCGGCGGGTTCCCCCTGCTCGACCTCGACGGCAACGGCTGCCTGGTCGAGGATCCGGGATACATACATCGGCGCAACGGCAAGAGTCGGCAGCGAAGTCCGAAGGCTACCCTCGCCACCCGTCCGAGGTTCGAGGTTCGAGGTTGTCGGCGTTTTCGTTCGTCCTCGGCGGGTTTCCAGCCTCCAGATACCTTCCAGCGGCTGCGCTTCGCCGAGGGCGTTCCCAGGGATGCCCGGATCGTCCCGAACGGCCGCCAGAGGCCCGGGCTATGATCCTAAAGCCTCCAGGGGGCCAGCACCTTCGCCGATCAACGATTCGGGCCACTCGATGGGCGGCGGGGGCAGTGTTCGGAATTCGTCGAGCATGTGGCCAAATCCGAACCCCATCCCCGCCTCCCGTCGACTCAAAAGAATCGATGGTTGCTGGGGGTAGGGCTCGGTCGTCGCCACCTGAAGACGCTGGAAGAAGGAGCAGTTCGGGCTCGGTCGTAACGGCCAGAGGTTTGTCGTTCGCGGCGTCCGGAGGCCGTTTCCCAGCCCGGGGGCCGTCAAAAACTGGTTCCGGATGCAAAATCAGTCTTGGGGAGGTGGTCGAGATATTCGTGGGGCGACACAGCGAAACATTGCAACGTCGGAGTAGAAGAGCCTGGAATCATCAAGGGGGAACAACCGTAACAACAGCAGCAATAACAATGACAACAACCATAACTAACCACAGCCACAGCCACAACCACAACCACAACCACAATCACAACAACAACGACATAACCAACAACAGCAACAACAGCAATACCAACAATACCAGCAATACCAACAACAACACTTATTTTAAGACTGTTCTCTCCTATCTGCTCACGTGCCAATCAATACGTATATCCCAAACCCTCGGTACCCGCCCTCGCCGTCTTCGATCGTAAACCCCTTTGGGGGTATATCTTCCTTACCTGCCACGTGGATTTAGTGCAGTCCCTGAGGCAAGGGAAGAGAAGACGGGCGGAAGGGGGAGAGAAGAATGGAGCACGAGGGAAATTAGCAGGAGGGGGGCAAGGAGCAGAACAAAAGTGGTAGAACCAGACGGGCAGATCGGGTGGGCAGATTTATAGCAGGCAGTTCGGGAAGTCGGGCCTAGGCGACCAGGTCGAGCAGGCGGGTTGCTGAAGCGTGGGTCCTGCATGAATCGCGAGGAAGTCTCGAACGATAGCGCGATTCCAAAGTAAATCGCAAGAAAAACCAAAGCGAGAGCGTGATTCCTCAGCGCCGAGGGCGCATCGTCTGAACAGATTGCGAGGAAGTCCCTCGCGAGAGCGCGATTCGTTAACAAATTGTGAGGAAGTCCCGCGCGAGAGCGCGATTCGGGAATAGATTGTGCGAAATTATCAGGCGGGAGCCGTTGTTGAATTTTCAATTCTGAAGAACAATTATTGTTGATCCCCCCCGTCTGGTGCACATTTCTTTTTCTCGATTGAAGTGCCCTTCCCGGGGCTCGCACCTTGTTTTTTATCAGGGAAAGTCTTTAGGGTCAAACTGTGTCGTTGGCCCCCGGGTTACAACAACAACGGCTCCCGCTTGTGATTTTCTCACAATTTAGCCAGGACCCCCGCTCCCGCCCGAGACTTCCTTGCATTTGATTCAGGAATCGCGCTCTCGCTTGGGACTTCCCTACAATTTATTCAGGAATCGCTCTCCCGGCGCTCTGGAGTCGCGCTCTCGCTGGAGACTCGCTTGCAATTTACTGAAGAATAGCGTCCTCGCTTTGGCAATTCTTGCAAGTTGCTCAAGCGCCGCGTTCCCGACACCCAGGCACCCGGGAGTCGCGTTCACGTTTAGGACTCCATCACAGATTACCTAAGAATCGGGATCTCGCTGCCCTTCGTGGCCCCGTTGCAGCCCTTCGTGGCCCCCTCGCTTTGTTTCGTGGCCCCGTAGCTGCCCGTCGTGGCCCCCTCGCTGCCCTTCGCGGCCCCGTTGCAGCCCCTCGAGGCCTCCACGCTGCCCTCCGTGGCCCCGTTGCAGCCCTTCATGGCCCCCTCGCTTTGTTTCGTGGCCCCGTTGTAGCCCTTCGTGGCCCCGTCGCAGCACTTCGTGGCCAGCCCCGTTGCAGCCCTTCGCTGCCCCCTCGTTGCCCTTCGTGGCGCCCTCGCTGCTTTTCGTGGTCCCATATCTGTATGCCCTTCGTGGCCCCCGCTCGTTCGCGCCCGTGGTGGCCCCATATGCATGCCCTTCGTGTCCCCGCTGTCGCCGTTCGTGGCCCCCTCGCTGCCCTTCGTGGCCCCGTTGCTGCCCTCAGTGGCCCCGTCCTTGCCCTCCGCGGCCCAGTATACGTATGCCCTGCGTGGCCCCCGCTCGTTCGCGCCCTTTGTGGTCCCATGTGCATGCCCTTCGTGGCCCCGCTGTCGCCTTTTGTGGCCCCCTCACTGTCCTACGCCAGTTGCTACCTTCAGTGGCCCCGTTTTTGCCTTCTGTGGCCCCGCATGATCTGCCCTTCGTGGCCCCCGTTCGTTCGCGCCCGTCGTGGCCCCATGCGCATGCCCTTCGTGGCCCCGTTGTCGCCCTTCGTGGCCCCCTTCCTGCCCTTCGTGGCCTCGCTGTCGCCCTTCGTGGCCCCCTCGCTGCCCTTCGTGGCCCCGTTGCTGCCCTCAGTGGCCCCATCCTTGCCCTCCGCGGCCCAGTATACGCATGCCCTTCGTGGCCCCCGCTCGTTCGCGCTCTTCGTGGCCCCATGCGTATTCCCTTCGTGGCCCCGCTGTCGCCCTTCGTGGCCTACTTCGTGTCCTTGTGGCCCTGCTGTCGTTCTCTCTCGCTCTCGCTTTCGCTCGTCGTCGTCGTCGCCGTCGTCGTCGTCGTCGCCGTCGTCGTCGACGTCGTCGTCGTCGTCGTCGTCGTGGTCGGTCCCCTGTCCGTCCCTCTTGGGGTCGGCTCGACAGTCCGCGGCCGCCCCGCCGATCAGCGTTGCCGCTGGCCAGGCCGACGGTCCGCAGCCGCCCCGCCGCTTGCCGGGGCCCGGCCTGCAGGGAAGAAAGGTATACCCCCCAAAAGGGGTTCGATCGGGACGAAGAGGGCTGGTATCGAGGGTTTGGAAAATACGCGTTAGTGGACACTCGAGCAGATAAGGGCGAACAGGCTTAAAACGATTGTTGAACATTATTTCTTCTTAAGAATAATTATTGTTGGGACCCCTGGTGCGCGACCCCCCCGCCGCGCCTAGGCCGCAGCCTCATTTTCATCATTTTCGTGAGGAAGTCTCAGGCAAAACGGGTTGGTCCGGATCCGGTTGTGTTGTTACGATCGGTTTTCCCTTGCAAAAAATAAGCTAAAGTGGACATTTCTTGTTCTAACATAACCAAGCTTCAAGAATCCCTGGCAAAAAAATAAGGTAAAGTGGACATTCGCGCGCGCAAGACGAAATCCTTCCAAAACCTTAGTTTTTTAACATAAAAACATCAAATTATCCCGGCAAAGCAACCTAACAGCGATGTGTAGAAGCATATCTGAAAGCATTCCCCTTAAGATTCAGATGAAAATCCAGTTGTCGAATTCTGCTGTTCTCGCAGTCGTAGTCGCATTCGCGATGACAGTCGCAGCGGCAACGGCAGTCGCAGTCACAGCCTCAGCCTCAGCCTGCCTCCTCCTCCTCCTCTTTTTCCTGCTCCTCCTCCTCCTCCTCCTCCTCCTCCTCCTCTTCCTCCTGCTCGTCCTCGTTCTCGTCCTCCTCGTCTTGCTCGTCCTCCTCCTCCTGGTGCTCTCTCCTCCTCCTCCTCCTCCTCCTCCTCCTCCTCCTCCTCCTCCTGGTGGTCCTCGTTCTCCTCCTCCTGGTGCTCTCCCCCCCCCTCCTCCTCCTCGTCCTCCTCCTCCTCCTCCTCCTCGTCCTCCTCCTCCTCTCCTCCTCCTCCTCCTCCTCCTCCTCCTCCTGGTAGTCCTCCCCCTCCCCTCCTCCTCCTCCTCCTCCTCCTCCTCTTCCTGGTCGTCCTCGTTCTCGTCCTCCTCGTCTTGCTCGTCCTTCTCCTCCTGGTGTTCTCTCCTCCTCCTCCTCCTCCTCCTCCTCCTCCTCCTCCTGGTGGTCCTCGTTCTCCTCCTCCTGGTACTCTCCCCCCCCCTCCTCCTCCTCCTCCTCGTCCTCGTCCTCCTCCTCCTCCTCCTCCTCTTCCCTCCTCCTCCTCCTCCCTCCTCCTCCTCCTGGTACTCCTCCCCCCCCTCCCCTCCTCCTCCTCCTCCTCCTCTTCCTGGTCGTCCTCCTCCTCCTGGTCGTCCTCCTCCTCCTGCTCGTCCTCCTCCTCCTCCTGCTCGTCCTTCTTCTCCTGCTCCTCCTGCTCCTCGTCCTGCTCCTGCTCGTCCTCGTCCTCCTGGTCTTGCTCGTCCTCCTCCTCGTCGTGCTCTTGCCCCTGCTGAAAATGTGGCCCAGGAATGGGAGTTCTGGGAAGTCGAAGAGCACGAAGTTGCCTACAGTTGGCTCCGGGCATTCAAAATGTGGCCCGGGAATGGAGTTCTGGGAACTCGAAGAGCACGAAGTGGCCTACAGTTGGCTCCGGGCATCCAAAATGTGGCCCGGGAATGGAGTTCTGGGAAATCGAAGAGCACGAAGTGGCCTACAGTTGGCTCCGGGCATTCAAAATGTGGCCCGGGAATGGAGTTCTGGGAAATAGAAGAGCACGAAGTGGCCTACAGTTGGCTCCGGGCATCCAAAATGTGGCCCGGGAATGGCGTTCTGGGAACTCGAAGAGCACGAAGTGTGTGACTGTTGCATCCGGCCCCCCAGAATGTGGCCCGGGAATGGCGTTCTGGGATGTCGAAGAGCACTTTGTGTGTGACTGTTGCATCCGGCCCCCCAGAATGTGGCCTGGGAATGGAGTTCTGGGAAGGCGAAGAGCACGAAGTGTGTGACTGTTGGTGAAAAACGAGCCCGGCTCATGCCGCCCGGAAACGCCCCAACACCTGCCCGGACCCCCCTGTGGAGTGATCTGCTCCTCTCTTTTGAGACCACTAGAAACCTATCAGTCTTCGCTGTTAGGTAAAAACCAATGGTTTTTCAAAAAAAATGTCAAAATTTCATCCCG